CTGCTGTTCTGAGACTTTCACCATCTTTGCTCAGCTGAGTTCACCACGTCTCAGAAAGTCGGTGTTACTCATGCTCTTTTCTGTTGTGTTTGTCACTTCACCACATCCCACAGCAGAAGGGCGCTGTCACGATCCACTACTGGGTTGAACAATTTGGCAGAGGTTAAACCCCCTTGCTTTCCAACCGACCTCAGATAATTCTGGGAGGTTGGGGGCGGGTGGGCTTAACTTCTGATTAACTCCAATATTTTATCGTGACTAGGTTCCTTTTACATTCTCGGAAACAGAATTAAGACTCAAAACGGAGCCAAGTGCCAAGTCACTTTATTTGGCCAACAACAAATGCGCGAGAGAAAAGCAGAGAAAGAGAGGAAAAGTGAGAAAGGGAAAGAAAGGGGGAGAAACAAACAGCAGGGGAGTTGCTTTTGCATGATCAATGACTGTTTTGCATACCCACGCCTCCCACTCGGCAGTGGGGCGCATGCCCAGTACCGTCACTAGAGTATGCTCGAAAGTTCTAGGGGGTCCGAGCCCCCTCCCCATTGTCAGTTGACTCTGGGCCCGGGCACATGCGCAGAGGACAGAGGACGTGTACTCCAAGATAACAGGACACACATTCCTGTGGGGTGGGACTCAATGGGCTGAAACTGGTGATTAAACTGCTCCACTCAGTTGCCGTGGTGATTAAACTTTGGTAGTTAAGCTTGCCTGCCACGAATGTTGAGACAAGTTTCTAGTCCCTTACAGGTGCTTTCTGCATCGGAGTTCAGGCTGGTCACAAAGCACTTGATGCTTCTGTCAGAGCTGGAGCACGCCAGGTAGCACTACCCCAGACTGGATGCTCTTTGTGTTCCCTGTAACTGTTTTCATCTCCTTCCTTTTTAGCTATTACATTACATGTATTAAATACTGCTGGGGGACCAAGCTCCTAAGCACCGTCTCTGCCTCTGAAATTGCTCAGTAAAATTAGATGAGACAGGTAGGGAGTGAAAAGGAGAGAGGATGGCTAGCCTCGTGTTCCGGGTAGAGAAACGGCGGTTCAGAGGGGTAATGCAGATTTGTACAAGGTGGACATGGGGGCAGAGCAGAGAACTGCAACCAGGACCTTCCTGACTTGGAAGTGGTAACGAGTCAGAAACTCAGGGGCTTCGCTGGCTTTGCAGTTGGCTGTGAAGGAACCGTGCGCGCCAGGGACAAGAGCTGCCAGGCACCTGCTGCCTGAGCTCTTGTGTCGCTCCCCAGCTAGAAGCTTCTCCCTCTGCTGAGCCTTCAAAAAGCCACTCTGAGCTGTGGCTGACTCCACTAAACTGCTTTCAAACGCAGACGTCCAGCCCCAGCCCATCCCTTACTCACAGCATTGGGAGCGTCCCCCTGCACAAGCTCTTGCCCTCACCCGGGGGTGATGAGGACCACAGTTTGTAGCATTGCAGTACGCAAGACCACAGGCAAAACATCGAGGAGAGCAATTGTTCCCGTTCACTTGGCACTCATGAGGCCACCTCTGGGGGACTCTGTCCTCCCTGGGACTCCCCAGTACTGCAGAGACATCAACAGACTGGAGCAGGTCCAGCAGAGGGATCACTCAGACGGGCCAGAGGCTGGAGCACAAGACACAGGAGGGGAGCTGGGAGAGCTGGGTTTGGCCAGCCTGGAGAGGAGGGGGCTGAGGGGCATCTAGCTATGGTTGTCCCCTTCAAAAGGGAGCTTAAAGAGAGGACAGAGACAGGCCCTTCCCAGAGGTGCACAGTGAGAGGATGGTGGTAATGGCCACAGGGTGTAATGAGGAAAGTTCCAATGGGATGCATGGAAAACCTTCTTCCCCACAAGAGTGAGGCAGCTGGTATTGGTGCTCTGCGAGCCTGTGGGATGTCCGTCCCTGCATATGGATGGAATATGAAATATCTATGGAATATCTATGGAATATATTCAGATCTTAACTGGACACAGTCCTGAGCAAAGTGATCTGACTTTGACGTTACTCTGCAAGCCAGTTGGACTGGAAACCTCCAGAGGTCACTTTTGATTGAAGGCTTTCTGTGATTTTATTAATGTGCCTTTCCCTGATGTCTGTGATACCAAGAGCAGTTGCTGGGAAGACACAATGGTGGAGGTTCCTGCCTATCCCAGCTCATTCCTTTGACCCAGGTGCAGGAAAAGAGCTGAAGTTGCTGTAGTCATTCGTCTCACCTGCCTCCTCCCCAGCATGCAGCGTATTTGCCTCATTAAGTCTCATTAGATGAGCCCCACCTCATCCATTTGGTTTGTTTTCCTGGGCCAGATGAGGGCAGGTTCACCAAGCACGCAGCTGCCTGTGCCATGGCTGGTCGCAGATGATTCACACAGGCATCGAATTGGGAGAAGAGCATCCCAGGGACTTTACCCTACCCGGAGGGACCTGGAGCTGAGGAGCTTCTCCAGCTGCAAGGTCAGCCACTCAATCTGTGTCTAAGCCATGGGGCATTGCCACAGCCCAGTTTTGTGGTAGAACTGATCCGGGTGTATGCAGCCCCTGCCGTGGAACAGCCCACATGAGTGTGGGATGTGCAGCTCAGATGTGCCGGAGAGGCCAGGGGCTGGGTACTCATCTTGGTCCAGTCCCAATCCAGGCTGCAGGGTCGCCTTTACCCTGTCACATCTTTCTGCCAAGGCCTTTCTCCCCAGAGAGAAATGTTTTTCTTGGAGATTGCAGATGTCCTACAAAATCTGTGCTGCCGAAGAAGCAGCAGGCTCTGGCAAGAGCTGGCAGGCTCCAGAAATGTTACCTGTGAGAGAAACTAAACCCAGGAGTTTGTAAATATGGGCTCTGAGGTGGTGGGATTGGGACGTGAAGGCAGGAAGGAAGCAGTGCTGTGTGTCCCAGGGCACAGGAAGGTCTGAGACGATATGGAGAGTTCCAGACTGGTGGGTAACAGGGCTTGGCTTAACCAGAAATGGATGGAGGCATTTGGGATTTGATGGCATTTGGGAGGAGGTGAGGCTGTTAGAATCACAGAATGCTTTGGGTCAGAAAGGACCTTTAAAGATCATCCAGTCCAATCCCCTGCTGTGGACAGGGACATCTTCACTGGGTCAGGTTGCTCAAAGCCCCATCCAACCTGACCTTGAACACTTCAGTGATGGAAGCCCCCGTTCAATTTTAGTAAGTGCTGGGTAGAACCAGAGCTCACCAACGCTTTGCTAAGGCTAACCCATATTGCACCTTCCTTCAAGGGTGGGGAAACCCAGGGGGATGAAAGGGAACAGTGCAGCAGAACGGTGGCAGATTTTGCTTTACCCATACCTGGCCCTCACTCCCCTTGGCATACAGGCATTGAACATCAGGGAGCTACAGTGCTCTGAATCCAGAAAAACGGTAGCAAAGAGAAGAGGTGGAGATGGTGGATGAGAAAAATGGCTGTTGTTGGTCCGTGTGCTTTGAGAGGAGGTGCTCAGCTGTAATTTGTTGCAGTGATGTGCAAGAACATGCTGCAACCACACCGGTCCAAGTGGCGCAGTCCTACCACTGCTGTGCTTGCGATCCTGGGCCGGCACGGCTTCTGTCGCTGCTCGGCATGCCAAGGGAAACCAGGCGGGAGACGGGCGAGAGGTGCTTTGCTTTGTGTGCCACTCCTCCAAGCTGTTTCTCAGAACTGTCAAATGAGGTGTTCTTCCATGAAATATTGAAAGGGTTGGACCTGGTAAAAGCCCTTCTGAGTGTTAGGCTCTCTGCATCCATTTGTAACCAGGCCTGGCATGCGAGTGGTGGGGAAGCTTTCTCGCTACCACTTTGCAGTCCTCTCCCACCCCTGAGGCTTCCCCTCTGCCCCAAAGCTGCTGAAGCAGCAAGGCTGTGCTGGCAGGTGTGCCAGGGCTAATGCTGCACTCGCATTCGCACTCCCCAGGGCTGGGCTGGTGCTGGGTGAGGCCTGGGATGGCCTCCACGTCCGTGGGGCTGCGCTGGCAGTGCCGTCAGCGGCTGGGTGCAGGGTGGGCGAGGACGCGTGCTTGGCTCGCTGGTCTCACGCAGTGAAGAGGAGGCAGCAGGGGCACCTCTGTGTGTCAGTCCCTCCAGCAAGGGGGGGCTGCAGGCTGATCCCTGCGATGCTGGGGCATCTCTGCTGTCCATGCCTGATGGAAAGCAGTCCAGGCCGCTGGCTCACCAGCCCCAGTCTGCAGCACTGCTCAGTGCTGCTCAGAGTTTCCCAGGGAGGTGGCAGCTCTGTGCTGTGGTCCCTGCCCCATGGACCTGCTAGCACAGATCCCTGGAGGACAGTTTTCCCATGGCATGGCACCAGCCGAGACTGCACTGTTCCTACCTGGCCGCCTGTCAAGCCACAGAGGCAACACAGGGCAGAGCAGGGGGTGGGCAGCCAGGGCTGTCTGGGGAGCTGCTGGAAGGTCCCATTGTGCTCAGCAGGACAAGCGGCATCTGTGGGTGTGCTATTTCCAGGGCACGCCGTCGAGGCGGGCGGCTCACCATTGTCAGCATGTCAGGTCAGGTTTATGTTGCCTGCTCAGGCTGCTGTGCGCACCTCCCGTGATCCGCATGTGCAACTTGCAGACCCAGCACACTGCGGTGGAGAGGAGCTGCTCGCTTCCTGTGCCCGCCTGCGCCTTACAAAGCTGCTCTGTGCAAATGGCAAAACACAGACCCCCCCTGTTTCCCCATGGCAAGCTGCTGGCATGTTGCTGGGCTGGTAGTGCTTTTTTCAGGGGAACAAGGCTGTGTTTGCTCCAACCCCTGGGCTCGTTTTGCCTGGGAATGATCTGTTTTCCTGCCTGAAACACTACCCTACAAGTTTTCTGATTCCAAACCCTTAGTGAGCAGTGGAAACATTTTGACTCCTCTCTACAAACAGCACAAGCCAGGGTCTCCTGCCCCCTGGAGAGCCCTGCTGCTGTTGGAAGCTAATTCAGCAGCTCCAAAGAGCCGTAGTACAGCCGCCTGCATCCAGCCAGGGGATGGGGGTCCTGTCTGTGCAGGCATCTGACCCAGGCCTCTCTCTCGCTCTCTCTTCCAGCTCCTTCTGCTGTGTCCATCATGCACCAGGTCAGCCGCACTGTGGACAGCATTACCCTCTCATGGTCTCAGCCTGACCAACCCAACGGAGTCATTCTGGATTATGAGCTGCAATATTATGAGAAGGTACTGCGGGACCTTGGCAGGGTTCAGCCACAGGTTTGGGGAAGAGGAGGTGGTGCAAAGCCTCGCATAAGGGTGTAAGACCGGCTACAGCAGTTGGTTGATCAATAGGTTACTTCTCTTGCCATGACTGGCCGTGTGGGTGGCAGTGGCTGTCAGCCCTTTGGAGCCCAGTGGTGTTTCCAGTGACCCTGCGTAGACAATGCAAGTGTGGAAAACCGGTAGCCAGGGTCTGGGGTCTAATTTTTTCCTTCCCCCCTAATTGGGCCGTTAGTAGGGAATGGGGGTGGTAGGGGTGTCGCGGAGCATCTAGTCCCAGGCTGGACCACACTAGCTGAGCGTCCAGTCTTTGAGATGTTGTGTGATGCTGTCCATCAGTGCATTTACATCAAAGGTGAGTTTGTGCCAGGGAGAAGCTGTCCCATACCCCCTGGAGGGTACTGACTGGGCTGTAAGCCGGGGGAGGCTGGTGTCAGGGGTCCTGTGGCTGCTTCGGCTCCAAGGAACGTGCCTCTTCCACCTCCCCACTGCCCTGCAAGCAGAGGGATTGCGGGCTGGGACTGTGCCAGGATGTCGATGCCATGGGACTGGAGTCCTGTGGCTGCCGAGAGCCCTGAAGAACACATTGATGTTGGTCCCAGGACCCACCAAGCTCTGCCTGGCTGGTGAACCTCATCTGTGCTACCCAGGGGAGGTGGGGAGCAGGAGATTCCTCCTTCCAGGAAGCTGCCTCCTTACACAAGAGCTTATAAACTATACATTAAAAATTGCAAACTAACTAATTAAAAAGCTTTACGATTAAATGGAACTGAAAATATTTTTCCCAGCAGTTGCTGGAAGAAATGATTAATCCCCCCCACTGCCTGCCTGTGACCTATTTTCTCATCACCAAGAGCCAGAGGGAGAATGGGGAGGGGGGGGGGAGCTGCTTTGTAAGCTGTTAAATAGATCCTGACCTATATTGCATAAATCACAGCCATTTATTTGACCCTTGGAAATGATCCCAGAATGCGTGGCAAGATGGATGAGTAGGTAACAAGACAGATCTGGAAAGCAAGAGGGGTCCTCTCCCCAGGGACCCTTGAAGTAGAGACAGAAGATCTCAGGGAGTTCATTCTCCTCCTCTTACTTTCTCTTAATCTCTCCCCCTCTTTCTTTCTTTCTTCCCCCTCCCCTCTGTTTTCTGGGGGAGGCTGTAAACAAAGGGATTTTTTGTCTAAAGGGGAAGCTGCTGTTCGTGGCCGGACTTCACAGCCAACCACAAGGTTGCCCCACCATCAGAGCTTAGGGCACAGCGCATCCCTGGTCATGGGGAGAAGCGGCCCAAGCCACGCTCTGGCAGTGCTTTCCATGGCAGCAGGCCCTCCAGGAGAGCAGTAGCCCTGCCAGAGAGGACAATGCAAGCAAGTGCTGGTGCTGAGGTGCTTTCTGGTATTTGAAACTCTTGACATATTTTTTGCTGGTGCTTTGGTTGGAGAAGGAAGGCAAGTCTTTATCTCCATCCCAAACAAGATGTGTCATTCTCAAAAGGGATCGTTAGATCAAACTAGTCCCACAGCAAGCAAACCTCAGAATATGTGGAAAAAGGTTAAAAAAGAGGTGGAATAACCAAGAGCTAGAGGCAGGACCCAGCCAGGCAGTGGATTTGTCTCTCCCCAATCTTCTCTACTCCGAAGTCCCAGTTGCACACTCAGGGTCTGATCCGTCAGTAGTCAACCCAAGGTCTTCAGTCGGGAGCCCTTTGCGTTTTCCCCATGGCACTATATTCTCCTCTGCCCATGTGGCAGAGCTGAACCTCACGTTAGCCTCGCCATCACCATGCTGCACTTTGCGATTGAAAGCCCCAAGTAAATACCCGGTCCCTGGGAACAGACCCAAACGGCAGAGCTTTGGATGTGCTATGCTTCCCCTGCCTCCCATCGATATTGCCATTTGGATGGGGTGCATGACACGTACCGGGTGTGGTGTCTGTGCAGAGGTATTTGCTTCCGAAATGGTTCATTGCAAACTGTCCCAGGTGCTTCTGAATGCTCAGAAAATATCTCCGGAGCTGGTTAAGTTGTTTCTAGGGGAATTTTTTTTCCTCCAGTAGAAAATCTATATTTTATTAGCATGAAAATTTTAAATGTAAGAAGAACAGCATATGCATTGTGTTTAAAAAGTGTTTTGGCTCTTCATTTTGAATTGATGCTCTTCTATATAAAGAATTAAATAAAAAAAATATTGGAATAAGTGTTTTAGCGTTAACAGAAAAGAGCTGCTCACAATACCTGAAACAAAGGTATATTTTTGTTTCCACTTCACAGATTATTTATAACACTGCTATTATTAGCTGCTATTAAAAATGCCTGTACAGAGGCAGCGTGATGATCTTCTTTCACGTTGTTAGGGCGAATCAGTGCAGGTGGTTCTGCAAGTGCCGAATGACGCATCTGTTCTATGGTCCTCTCCTTGATGTTTTTTTATTTTACCTCCAAGAGGCACCTGACAATGTTTGTCTTACTAAAAAAGTGAGCGTTGTCTTCATTTAGAAAGCACGTAATAGTTTTTGCCCAAAGTTGCCAAATCCACCCCAGCGTGTGGGAATGGGAGACCCGCTGCGAAAAACAATTCGCTCCCCTTGTTATGCAGAATGATTGGGCTCAGGGTATGCCCCGAGTTACCCATTCTGTACTTGTCTGAAGACACCCAGCCCACCCCTTGTGCCCAGTTGGGTCACCAAAGCAGAGGCTTCCGGGCACACAGGAGCCCTTTGATGTCTCCAGCCATGCTGGGGAAAGGGCTCGGGTTGGCTGGGGGGCTGAAGGCAGGGCAGAGGCAACCTCTGGCAGCTGGAGCTGCAGGTGGGAGTAGAGTTGGCTGTAGCCTCCGTGGTGCCCAGGAGCTTCTGGCAGGAGCCCAGCATCCCCAGAACTGGATGTTGCCAGGGCTCGTACCAAGGATGGCTGAAAGCTCTGCTCCTGGGCTGGCTCAGTGTTGGAGCCAGCCTGCAGTGTTGGACACCAGGATCCCCAAGCCTGGGACCAAAGTGGCTGTCTGGTGTGTCCCAGGCTGGAGTGAGAACTGGGGTGCCCTTCTCCCTGTGCTGCCCAAGCACCTTGAGGGGGCTCCATCTGGGGAAGGCTGAGGTCAAGAAGGAAACCTTGCGAGGGAGCCCTGCGGTAGCTTTCCTGCAGTCTCCATCCCTGCCCAGGGTCCACGCTGCTTCTGTCCAGGTCTCAGTTTTCTTGCGAGAGGCATCCAGATGCTCTTGCGCTTGATCAGGTACCTGGCTGGGAGGGCAAATACTCTCGAGATCTCCCCACAAGCAGTGCTCCCCATGAGAATCCAGGAGCTGTGGACCCCACGGATGCACCTGCAGAGCAGCCGGCCAGACCCTGTTCCTGCACCTGAGCATCCCTCCTAACATGCTCCATCCCACGGGGGGCCAAAATTCAGTTGTGTGTGATGGTTCGGCACACGGCCTTGGGCTGGCTTTGTGCGCGTGGCCCTGTTTGCTTCGGGAGCCACGGCAGATTGCCCTGTGCAGCTGCACAGAGGAGCTGTCAGCCAGATCAGGTCGGCTGACATTTTTCTCGGGCTTTTTTTTCCTTTTTTTTTTTCTGGCTGATAAAACATGACTTTTTAGAAACAATTGCTGCAGATCCTCCAAGCATTTCACAGACTGTGTTTCAAGAAACTCTTTCTTTGTTGATCAGACTTTGGTTTCAGCTTAAGTTTGGCTCAGGGGAAGGGGAACCAGAGGAGGACTTAAAATCAAACCTATGAGGAAAATAGAAGTGTGTTATCTTGAACCAGGATTTCCAAACTCAAACCAAAATCATCAGGGGAAAAAAAAACAAAAACCCAAGCACCAAAGCTCTGTAAAAAACAAGCTGAGAGAAACAGCAAAGGAATTTGGACCTCAAACCATCTGAGATGCCCTGGACCTGCTGGAGAAGCCCAGAGGCGTGAGGGGGGAGAAGTGTTTGAAGTGAATTGCTGGAGAGGTGATGGCTGAGCAAAGCCAAGAGGAAAGAGCAGGTCTGATAAGGGAGGGTGGAGAGGCGTAAATGCTCCATCCTTGCGGTCTGGGATTAAAGGGGAGCACCCGTGTGAGCACCTTTCTGATGCAGACAGCCACCCATTTCCCAGGCTGCAGGCGGTCCTGGAAGCATGCCCACTGCATTCCATCTGGGGTCCTCCAGGAGCAGGGACGAGGTTCCCTCCAGCAGTTGGACAAATGATTTTAAAACAGCTGTGGCGTTGGTGCCATCCAAGGGCCTGGGAGGTTACATCCAAGCCCCTGAGCACTAAAACCGTAAACATTTCCTGACCTATTTATCTCCTAGCCTGCCTGGGAAGGGTCCAAGGGAACACCGAGGCCTGGCCAGACAAGCAAGGCTATCAGTTTTCTGTGTGCTCAGCCTTTCTTCATCTTTCCTGCCTGTGTATCTGTACCAGAGCTTTTTGTTGTCATCAGCCTAATTCTCAAACACCCCTGTGGTACCCAGGCACCTTCAGCACCAGGACCAGATGGATAAATCTGATGTTGTAGTTTTTAGAGGAGAAAGTGGTGCCTGAACACCATAAATTGTGGACGTCTCCCAGGCATTTGCAGAGCTGCTCTGCATTACCCTGCAGAATGATGTGGGATGAGCATTTCCAAGCCTCCCAAGTTCAACGGCATGCTTGGAGAAACACATTCCTGACAGACCGTTCTCTTACCAGCCGTCCACACCAGAGCCCTGCTCAATCAGAAGCTTGACACAAGAAGGCATTAATTCGGTGAATGTTGTCTTTCAGATACTTTGCAGCTGTGAGGCAAACAGCCTGTGCAAACCCAGGTCATAAGGATAATCCATCTTGCAAATGCCAGTGCACTTGCAGTTCTGCTCCAGCATGATGGCTAATTGAGAAAGCACCAGGCTCTCCCAGGAACATGAGGAGAACATTGGTTCAGCATGGTCCGCTGCATGGAGCCCATAGGGAATGACTGTTCCTTGTGGGCCTCTAAAGTTGCTGGTGCCACGGCTTCTGGCTGTGCAGAAGATCCTCTGTGTGAAGGCACCAGTGCTGTTCTCAGAAGTGAACAAACATGAAAGCAAAGTCACCAGATGGGCAGCAATGTGGAGAGTGGAAAAGAAAGGAGACCAGAAGCCCCCAAAGGCAAACTTCATCATTTATTAGTGGGCAAGACAACCCCTGACTCATCCCGTGGTCCAGCAGCTGAGGAGGCTGAGGACACAACCCCTTCTAGGAAGAGGCTGTACAAAGTTGGGTGCAAGACTCCCCATTGACTTCTGCTCCACTGTTGTCTGCAGGCAGCCCAAGCAGGAGAGCAGCCGTCTGCGCAGGCTGCACCGTTGTCTGAGGAAACCCTGGTTCATCATCAGGTGGGACCTTCTGTCCGGTTGCCTCTTTGATACCCTCTGTCCTTCAGGAATCCACTGCAGATGAAGTTGATGAGAAGGGGTGGATGCTTTGCTCCTCGCTGGGGGTTTCACTCCGATCTCACAGTAGCACAGCACGAGAAACAATCCCTCCATGCTCCTCCGGTGGAGTTTCCCAGCTGAGACAAAAGCCCAGTCCCTTGATTGCACCCTTAGTCCCACTTGATGGGGCTGCACAAGCTGGCCGTCTGACTTCTTTCTGCCAGCCCCCACCTACTTCTTGTGAGGTTCTCTCACCTCCCTGGTGAGTCTGTGTGGGCTGGGAGCTCTTGGGCTTGCTGAGCCCTTTGCAGTGACTGGAGTTTGCAGATCTCAGGGACTCGCTTGCAAACTTGCCAGCCCCGAGTCTGCACTGTCAGCTGCTGTTCTGTTCCAAGCAGTGAACCAGCCAAGGTGGCCTGACCTGCCAGATCGGAGGTGTTACCAGAAGGGATGACCACTTCCAACGTAGCTACGGAAATTTGATTCAGAAATTGGTGCCTGTATGCCCCTTTAAGGGGATTATACTCATGGCTTGGCTTTCCTAAGGTTTTTCTGTTTTCCAGAAGCATTGTGCTGTTTTGAACGTATTGCTGCTTTGCACTGGCTTTCAGGACTTCGTGGCTGCCAGGCACCTGCCCACCTTGCCCTGACCATAGGAAGCACCACATTCAGTACTGTCTTTCATCCTCCTATCTTGACCTGTTTCTCTGTGCCCCTGGCGCGGAACAGGGACTGTCCACTCTCTTGTACAGTGACTGGCACAAGGAGATCCTGGCCCATCCACCGGTGCTTCTGCATGCTCAGCTAAGGGCGTAATTAGCGAGGGCAGTGATAGATCCATCACCTACACAAGTGCAATGCTATCTATACTGTTATGGTATGGCCACTCAAGTCCTCAGCTAGAAAATCTGCACACAAGGGGTGGGACAGAAATTTGGAAGTAGTCTCCTTGTCACTTTTAAATAAGCTCCTCAGTTGCCCAGCTTGGAAAACCTGACCAGTGTCACTGGTGGAGCAGGCCCTGGCCAGGGGGATGATAGCAGTGCTTCTCCTGAGGTCCAAACCCCTTTGTTCAGGTGGACTTTACCTCCAGCACAGGCAAAGGAAGATGGGGAAGAGCACGTGGAGAGGGTGCTGAGGCTGGATCAGGCTCAGGAGGAGGGGCTGAGGGAGGATAATGCTAAAAGAAGGCAGGCACAGGAGAGGGAAGCAGGTGCCCTCCCCATTGAGCTTGGGGTTGGCAAAGTGACCTGAGGTTTCTAGCTGGCACCTTCATCAGAACCTTTCTGGAAAGGTGGTGGGTAGCCCACGGGTATCCATACTCCCATTCCTGCCTCTGTGTCTCCCTTCTGGGGAGCAAGCTCAGAGGAATGACCCCTCAGGGTCTCTCTGTGGTGGTCTGTCCACCCATGCTGTCCCAGTCTCTTGCGCTTCCTCGTCCTAGAAATGCAGCGCCTGATCCAGGACTCACTCTTCTGATGACAGATTTGTATTTTCTTGGCAGGATCTGAGCGAGTTAAATTCGACAACAGTGAAGAGCCCCACCAACACTGTGGCAGTGCAAAACCTCAAAGCTGGCACCATCTACGTCTTCCAGGTGCGGGCACGTACTGTGGCCGGGTATGGCCGGTATAGTGGCAAGATGTATTTCCAGACCATGACTGAAGGTGAGTCTTCAGCTGCCTCTGCAGAAAGGTGACACAGGGTCCAGAGAGACTGGAACAAGATGGAGATGGGCTGGCAGCAGTGCTGATCCCCTTGCTGTTAGTTTATTATTGCCTGGAGACAGGCACAGGCACGTGGTGGCCCATGCAGGGAATCACATAATGTAAGCCAATTTCTACCAAGCTTTTCTGGTGTGAGGATGTGTTCACTCAGTTGGATTCAGAGGAGACGAAATTCATTATTTTCATGTGTGCAGCTGTTGATGACAAATGCAGACCTAGGCCTCTGTTTTCTAAATTTCTGCTGCTAAATAAAACAAGCCAAGCCAGTTTTCCGTCCCCGAGGCCATGGAGCAAGGCACAGCATGCATACATCCGTGGGACTAAACTTTCCTACCCCATCAAACCTTCCTACTGGGGCACATCCCCTGTCATAGCCAACCTGAGCCATGCCTGGGGCACCACTAGCTGTCCCAGACCAAAGCCATGCTGTGAGACCAAAGCCATGCTGGGAAGCCCATTAGCAATAGCCATGCAGCCATGGGCCGTGCTCAAGGCCATGCTCTGACCTCAATGAACTTGTCAGTGTAGACCCGTCCTGTGCTGCAGTAACCTGTTCCCTCTTCCTTGTGTGCCAGCCGAGTACCAAACCAGTGTCCAGGAGAAGCTGCCGCTCATCATCGGCTCCTCTGCGGCAGGGCTGGTGTTCCTTATCGCTGTAGTCGTCATCGTTATTGTGTGCAACAGGTAGGTCAGCCTGAGCGCATGACCCCGGGCTGGGGCTGTGCAAGGCAGTGGCGACCGGAGACGGAGGGTGGCAAGGGTAGGGGAGGATGGAGAGGGGAAGGTGATGGGGGGCGGAGATGCCTCTGCAGTGCGTCTCAGCCTCCAGGGACCCATGCTGGTGCTCAGGACTCCCTTTCTTTCCAGAAGACGGGGCTTTGAGCGTGCTGACTCCGAGTACACTGACAAGCTGCAGCACTATACCAGTGGCCACAGTACGTACCGCGGCCCCCCGCCAGGCCTGGGGGTCCGCTCGCTCTTCGGTTTGTGTTCCTGTTCACTCATTCCTTGCGGTGTGTGGGGAGGGCTCAGGCCACCTAGCCGGGCAGGCGTGTGCATGTGTAGACAACAGGACCTCTGTGCTGTCTCGATTCCCTTCCAGTCCCCTCTGATCTCAATCCCGGCCTTCCAGAGTCCGTGCTCTCTAGACCTGCGTGCTCTGGGGGGGCAACTGTGCAGTGAACACCTGTGCATGCCCTAAAACCCTGCAACATCCAACACACAGCTCTCCATGGGCCCCTTGGAGCCTCACCCTCTTCTGTTGTGCAGCCCCTGCCACTGCACCTTGTCTTGCTACTGAGCTTGCGGGCAGCCGCGAGCCCCCTTTCCCAACCTTCCTATGTCCTGCAGAGTGCTGTCCTCCTGCAGGAACCCACGCACCTTGTGGTGCCCCTGCTAGAGCCCATCCAGTGCATCCTAGTCACTATCGGATGTCTCTCTCTGTAGGTATATGATGCAATACATGACGCACCCTCTCCTGCAGCCTCT